AGGCACAGCTCCAAGATCCGATAAAATCACAGCCTATTTCCTTAGAGCTAAAGGCTACAATTTACATGTAATTCTCGTAGATCACGTGACAGGCTATCATCAAAAGAAAAAAATCCCAGACCAGTGGAGGACGTCGCGCACGGTCATCCTGCTCAACCCAAGAAAGGAGACCGAAGAGATCTTCGTAACTAACGTCCCATATACTTGTTGAGTGTACTTTACAAACCCTTCACGAAGATTATCCTCTCGAGCATATCAAGGACATTGGATGAGGCGCAACCAGTCGGGTAAATTCGACATCGACATTTCGACAAGGATTTTGCTGCATGGACCACACCCAAGCCGTGTCCAGGGTCATCGAAGTTTGTCAGAAATACCACTTACCTCTAGTCCTAACCTTTGTCGACTATGAAAAAGCGTTTGACAGTGTCGAAACGAATGCATTATATCAGCGCTCGTAGACCAAGGAGTGGACCCGTCCTACATAGGAACTCTGTTCGACCGTTATCGGAACTGCACCACGAAAATACAGCTTTTCCATCGACCTCTTACCATACCCATAGGAAAAGGGGTTCAACAGGGCGACACAATATCGCCAAAGTTGTTCAGGGCCGCACTGCAGTGGATAATGAAGTCACTCGATTGGGATGAGAAAGGCATACGCATTGATGGAAAACTCCTATCCAACCTTCCTTTTGCCGACGACATTGTCATCTTCTCAAGACGTACTAGCGATGCGGAGGTGATGATGAACGAGCACAACGAAGCGGGGAAAAAGATCGGACTTCGAGTAAATCGAAAGGAGACCCAGTTCATGAAAACCCATGATGCGAAGCGAAAAAATTGAATTGGTTGGCTCTCTCATTGCAGAGACCACCTCGCACGCACCATACCATACCTTGAGCGATCAATGAACATGGAAAAGAATATGAAGGAGGAACTAGATAGAAGAAGGAGAGCAGCTTGGGCCGCATTCAGGCCTCTCAAAGAAGCCACCGACCAACTGAAGGACCCGAAAAACCGCGCTTATCTCTCTGATTCTACGGTCTTCCCAGCGCTCTGTTATGCTGCAGAAACGTGGGTTGATACTTCAGCTACGTCAAGAGTGCCCCGCACTACTCGCGGAGCGCCTGAACGATGTCTTCTGAAACATATCCGGCACTCTCAATATCTAGCCGGAATGCGAAGCTCTGACCTTCGAAATCTGTCACATCTTCGAGATCCAGGAGAATATACATCGATAGCGAAACATGGATGGGCCGGTCACATAATGAGAAGACCAGGCGACAGATGGGCGAAAAAAATAGTAGAGTGGACTCTAAGAGAATGCAAAAGTTTCATAGGACGACCACCTACACGTTGGGCCGACGTGTTCGCAAACAAAGTTGATTAGCTGTACCCGCAGGTGAAGTTGTTTTACAGATCACGGTATGAGACTCGCAAGCGCTACCATGCTTGCGTATAGTGGCGCGAAAATTGGGCCTACTAATGATGGACATGCAAGCCGGCTGATAATACGAGAATGTGACTTTAGTGCAGGTACAGTAAGAGTGCCAAGCAGTACAAATTAATTCCACTTTTGTTTTGACTACTGTTTTAGATTCAACGCTGAAAGGCGTTTCCTTGTGAAATCCTTCTCCAGCATGTCCCCTTTCCTTATGCCTATGGATTCCCTAGAATATGGTGTTTGACAAGCATTTTTCTCGATGGTACAGAATAGCGCATGGTCTAAAATTAATTAGAAGGTTCCAGGTTCCCAAACGCTAAACGGTTATTATTCGATAAATAAAGGATATCAAAGTGTGGGAACAAAGCAGAATTATGTTAATATTCGGCACAGGTCGCCGTGCATAGTTCGCGGCTTGCCGTGGTAAAATAGTCATCACTTGACGCCGATAAGTGGTGTACACTTAGGACCAGTCCCATGACAAAACTAAATAGTATGATCCGAAGGTGAAAATTTCTCTAAAGAAAACCATCGATTACCAAACCAACGCCTAGAATTTCTTCAGTTTTTTTTAGGAAATTAATATGGAGTCTATATAATATATCGACGGAACCAGCTGGGAGACAGGCAAAACGAAGGAGCCGCATGGTGGTGGTGAACGCGTTACTCCCCGGAAAGGGCAAGCGCGTTCGTTCCCCACCATAGACACCTGCGGTCCAGAGTTTTGCAAATATCTCAGCATTCTTGAAATTAATATAGACGAGCCAAACCTGCCTTCAATTGCTTAACCCGAAAATATCAGCCTAGTGGAAAATACGCTAGAAACTTGACGATTCCTTTAAAGAAGCCCAGTAAAATAAGACGATTAAGCTAGAACTCTACATGGCCTTTTAGCAATCACGCTCGGATGCAATTTTTTCCCCCGGTTCCATATCACTTGAGCACCAGTTCGACTCTTGTTCTTCAATGTTTGAGTGATTCTTTAACGAACAAAACAACCACTTCTACTTCGGTCTAGCAATAAATCATCTTTTTCAAGCGAACATCATCAGTATAAATTATTTATACAAAGGAAATAAATTTTTTGAGAATAGTCACTTTTCTTTTATAGGCAGCGCAGTACCACAACTGCCAAACCACACGGCATAGATACCCCTACTGAGGCGACATAATAGTGAAAAAATGGTGGTTTTAACTGCAGAAGGTAATCCTTTTGATGCTACCCTCGATGATCAGTTTGAAGAACTTGTTAGTGAAAAGCACCAATTTCTTCTTTTCTCAAAGGTATTTTTGGAGAAAACCGTATTGGTTGAACTGCTTGAGAGTCGGACGATAAAATTTTCTTCTATTGACTGATCAGGACAACTATTTAGCGCTGGAGATGATAATCTTTATGACGTTTCGCTTTCTGAAAACTGTTTAGAAGTTTGTGATGTTATCTAGCCTTTCTTCACTAAAATGCCAATCGTTTTCGTTGGGCATGCGAGCTATTTATCAATAATTTCGGCTCTATATGAATTTCTTCTACCTGTGAGGTCTTGAAGGCTTTGGTTGCAGACACATTTTTTTCTGTTTTTGCTCTTTTTCAGCCTTTGATCGTTTTTTTTTTGAAAGCTTCAAAGTGTCTGAAATTGATTCACCTCAATGAAATAATCAGCCTTTGAGCAGGTATGAAGTGTACATTTATCGTCTCTCAGCGCAGTCCAGAACTTCTAAAATGCCTTCTGCACATAATTTTTCCTTGTTTCGATACAAAGAGACCTAGCGAGATCCTCCTCCGTCATTCCGAAGTTGGAAACTCAAAACTAATCTTGTCAAGGAAACAAACTCACTTATTTAATAGATCGGTGGACATGGGTTAGTCATTGTAGGAGACAAATATACCTTCAATTGCCTACAAGATTATACGAATAGGATCGAATAAACAGGGCATCTCTAAGGAGTAGAGCTATTCCGAACCCTTTGCAAATCACCGCTTTATATAAAACTTCGAATCCATCTTGTTCTGTTGCAAATTAAGATAAGAGAACACGAGACAGTAAAAAATGATCTGTGGGAAACCGCATTTGGTACGGACAACTTTCCGTCTAATTCTATTCAATTCAACCGAATAAAAAAGTCTTACAAAAAAGACTGTATCAATTCAACCTTATAAATTCACGTACTCAACACATTATATAAGGGTAAAGGATAAAGCTCTCGGAGTTGATTAATCCTTGAGGGATGCGCCATGCATTCGACTTCATTACGCATACATTGGTGATTGAATGCATATCTGGCCTTTACAATGAGTCGCGGTGGCCTATCGATTACCGAGCCAGTGTTGTTATCCTCCTAGCCTCCTAGACAAGTCTGGTACCAATTTAGAGACCTCGAATGGATGGAAGGCTTGGTGGGCCATGGGCACGCGGATCAATTTCACGTGTGTCTCGCAGTGGCGCCTCCAACCACTGCGCCACACATCGGCACATTATATACAGTTATATTAACCCACGAAACGCAGTAGTTAGGGGAATCGTGCCGTAATACGCGCACGCTCCTAAGTTCGATGTCCCGGACAAGCCAAGCCTACCAAGCCGGTAAGGTGGCATCAGACAATCCACAAGAAAATTTCAACAATCCATGAATGACATCAAGTACTTGTGATGAGGACCTGAGAAGCGGTATTTAAATATTTCAGGAGGAACAAACTCTACTGGTGCTCGTGACTTCTCTTCGATGATGAAGAATGCAAGACAACGAATCGAATGAAAGGAGTGCCAATGTCTACAAAATATGTGACGCCGATTTCATACAAATAAAGAAGTGAAAAACCAATAGCGAAAAACAGCAGGAAGTTCATTGTTCAATAAGATCAAGTAAGTTGAATAAAACTTGGCGTTTTTCTGCTAAGGTGGACAACTGACAATAAATCTTTCTACTCCATAATTCATTGCCATTTTAAAAGATGTCTAATCTCAACATCGTAAAGGCACTCTACTTGTTCTGAATGATCACAAGAACTGGCTCTGATACTTGAAAATGGCTGCACTCCACTTTCTTGGCATTTCACAGAATAAGAGAAAACCTACCTAAAAACTAAAGCACCAATGATATCGAACGCGTCCTTTAAAGAGAAATAAGAATGGAAAAAAAATTATCAAGCTATATGATTTAGGATACAAAAAGCCTTAGTTAGAGCTACTGTCTTCCGATACTTGAAGTAGAAGCACATCACACTTATGAATATGAATGATACCATTATAACAATGGCGAGGTGAAACATCGTCATCCTAAATTAGTTACATTCTCAGCACTAGGAAGTTACTTATATTTTGTGCGCTTTTCAAAAATTACAACAGTGTTTTAATGTCTCTCTCAGTGTTCGTTCTGCTTACATTTTATCGTAGTTGTCTACTTTTCTTTTTATGCTGTGAAATATAAACGATTCAAAAGGTCGTGTAGATTATTAGAATGCCGGCAAGAAATTTTGAAGACGTGTTTTGTCTCAAGAACTACAATATTTTGAGTTTTCACCAATGTTTACCCTTTTACAACTTGTTTATTATTAGACATGTCGTCTTCATTTCTTTTCAACGGCTCATCTTTAGACACCGGTTTCGCTGATGATGTTGCTGGCGGTGACGGTGGTGGTTGTGGTGGTGGTGGTGATAATGGTGTTGTTTGTAAACTTCCATCACTCTTCAGTGTGGTTGGCGTTTCCAATGTTCATCGTTTTCGTCGACACTGTCATTGTTCTTGGTTTTTCGTTTCTGTTACCGTAATTGTTGTTAATGTTAGTGTATTTGATGTCGTTACTGCTGTTGAAGTCGCTGCTGTTGTTGTTGTTGTTTTCTTCTGTTGCTGTTGTTGTGTTGTTTTCTTCTGTTGCTGTTGTTGTTGTTGTTGTTGTTACAGTTGTTGGCATTGTGGTAGTTGTTGTTGGTGTTGTAGCTGTTGCTGTTGATTGCGAAGTGGTGGTACTTGTTACCGGCATTGCAGATGTTGTTTCTGTTGACGTTGTAGTTATACTAGTTGTTGTCGCAGACGTAGTATTAGATGCTGCTGTTGACGTTGTGGAAGTGGTTGTTGTTGGTATTGTAGATGTAGTAGTAGAACTTGTTGGTGTAATTGTTGTAACAGTGGTATTTGCTGCTGGTGTTGTAGCTGTAGCAGTAGTTGTCATTGTTCCTGTCGTCATTGTAGTTCTTGTGCTCATCGTATTTGTATCTGATTTTCTTCTCACCGCTTTCTCCATAAAAGCTCTATTTCCAGGCTTGCTCCAAGCTAAAAGTGCGTAATTCTCGTCTTATTAAAGTAGGTGCAAAAAACCTTTCAGTGGCAAAATTTTCTTTTAATAAGATTTCATTTACTGTGGTTTTGACGGTGTTCTCTAGTGAACATTAGGTAATTAGGCACTACACATTAGGTAATCTTGGATTCTTTTGAACAAATTTTGAAATTTAAACTTTAACAAAGTTTTAAACGAAACGAAAGGGCAGGAAGCAGGGCAAATGTGTCAACGTTGCTTCTGAGCACTCAAGTAGGGGTTTACGGCATCCCACTGTATGCGCGATACATTCCGCTGCCTTCTTAGTATCACAGAGTTAAATGCATGCAAATCCGGTCCACACAATAACACATGATGGGCTACCAATGTACCAAGTCAGTGTCTTATCTTTACCAGGATATCTGGCAATAGCTTTCCGACCTCGAAGACATGGAGAAATTTATGAATGCGAGGAAAGAAATTGGTCCAAGGAGGACCGATCCAGTGCTGATTGAATAATAAGTTCAGCTATAGTGCTACACGTATTTATCACACGAAAACGGAACCCACCGTCAATAAATGTTAAACCTATAAAATCCTTTGGGTTCGTATTTTTCCAATCGATGATGTCAAAAACAGGTTTTGACGAGCAAAAACAACCTTGCCACTTAAAGGATGATAGATACGTAACGCCACCTTTATTAATTTAAAAGCTCCGAGTAATGGGCCTTAAGATTTGTGTGCTTGCTACTACTTGCCATGAGTTACTGCGGTCCATCAAAAAACACTCTTCTGTCATCATTTGCAAGTGTTTCACGGGTTCCTTTGATCCTACTTCTGAACTTTTATTACACACCCTTGCCGCTCACTTATGCATAGTAAACAATACATGTAAGACATTTTGTCCTGATTTGCTTCTTATGAGAACGAAGAAAAAGCTAGAAATAGGACTTGTTCCCTATATTATTTTAGACTAGTGTTTCTGACTTTTGTAAAGTAAGCACTGTAGCTCTGGAGGTGTAGAGCAGTGGATAGATGTGCCCTACATAAATCTTTCTGATACTGCAATCGAAACCTTGTCTGTTTTTCATGTCCACGAGTTTCTTAACACCTAGCGCTGGGCGCTTAATATTCTGAAGTTACGTAGAATGGTGTTGCTAATGATGAGAGTACTTAATGTTTTTATGATGGGTGAAGGCTTTACCCTTCTGCATAGAATTAATTGCAAATCCTGGTGCTTTTGCAAAGACAAGTCCAGAAAAAGTGTTTCATGATAGTAAGAGCTTGAGCTGCTACCATGTGCTAATATACTTTACTATACTATGTTAGATAATAACTACTTAGAATAAAAGATTGGCATGAAGTACTCACGCCCCATGAGCGTTTTTGAGTTTATAGAATGTGTATGGAGTAATATCTGGACGAATTCGGCTGATAAATAGTAAAAAGAATTTCAGAAAAAGGAAAAATAATGAGATTCTGTCAAGACTTTCTCCACTTACGAGAGCTAAACAAGCGACCAATGCTGATGGTCGCATTTCAGATCAAACGACGTTACTCTACTTAATTCCCTTCGCGACATGCATTTACTGACGGACAAATACAGAAATGAAATACACCTGAGAATTGAAGACGAAAAACGGAAAAATATAAAGAAAACAAACACCGCGATAACAAAGAAAAGGACTACCGACATTAAAAAAATGTTTAGTAATGATGATTCACTCTTTAATTTAACTTGTGTGACTGTTTGGCAGCGGTCGTCCATCAACTATACATATTTAGATTTCCCATCAATGCACCAAACTAATCGACTGATTAGGCATCCTTAATAAACCACAGAGAAAAATAGCGTAATCACATAGATAGGCGAGATGCTTTGGGTTTTCTGATCTGCGCACAGGTAACGTGTGGAGTTGTGTCAGGGTCCATGTCGAGCGGATGGAGGCGTGTGCCGAAGTGGCCTGAGACGATTTGCGACACACACAAACACATGAGATTGATCCCCGCGCCCTGGCTCTCCAAGTCCTCCATCCCTCTAGGGCCGGAAAATTGGTGCCAGACTTGTCTGGGAGGATAGGAGAACTGGCTGGTCACATCAGCAATCTATTTGGCCATCGCGAGTTATTGTAAAGGAAAGATATGCATTCAATCACTTCCAACGATGCTTAATGAATTCGAATGCATATTGATCAACTACAAGAGTGTTTAGATTTACCTTTATTACGTAATGATGTACATGTACGACCAATCTTCTTTAACTTATTACTGATTAAATCAGATATAGTGCCTGTAATTTTTCAGTAGCGGACTGTTTACTACTGCCTCCAATACGGCGTAACCTTTTGAGTGTCCAGGGGGCCAAGTCGAGCGCACGAAAGTATCATTACACTCGGTGCCGGTGGAGACAGCGGTCGAATTTCTAAAATAGTCATGGAAATCATGGTGACAATCTTTCTAGACAGGAAATACAGCAGCGAGCGTTATTTAGTGATCAACTACTGAACCCTCGCAACGGTTCACCGCCTCATCGTGGATAGGAGGTGTTCCTGGGTGTCGGACTACGATGTATAGCAAGGGGATTCATCTCTCTGGCAAGGTCTCCCAAGCTGAGAACGAGTGCGGCGTTTTCATCAGGAAGGCTAGCTAAGAGTAAACCAATACCAGAATCCACCACCGCCCTGGTATCAAATTAGTAGCATGGAGGAAACTTTCCCTCTGATCCACAAGCGCTGCCACTGCCTGTGGCCGTGAAGACTTGGAGCAGACTTTGGCCAGGCTGACCTCTGGATTCCAGGGAACCACAATGGTTTAACCAGCAAATCTCCGAAAAATGGAGACTATGCTGGGGCTGCACAACCAGTGAGGATGGGCTGTTTAAGTGTCTAGTAAGTGAGTAACTACTGGACCGGCTTCCATATCTGGCACAAACGAACGACGAACCCCTCACAGCAAGAAATGTTAATGCGTGTAAATATTCCGGCAACCTGTCTATTGCAAAAAAGTGAGAACAAGTCGGTACCATGTATGTGCAGCTACGAATTGTCGCAATGTTCACAGGAAATATTAAGAAGTGTGCTATACAAGAAATACAAAAAGCTGCTTAGCCAGAGCTAACAAACGAGCCCGAAATGGATAAAGCATCAGATTTAAAGATGTAACATAAAACCTTGCGAAAATATTGCTCGACCTATACATACACGAGTCAACTAAACAGAGTAAACAACGGGCTATATTTGCCTTCGTACTGCGATAAATGGCAAACCTAGACTTGAGCGAAAAACTGTGCTAGATTACAGACGATTCGACAAAGTACAAATGTAATCGATACATCGGCCATCGCAGTCATTGTATGCCGCGGTCGAGATGGTTAAAATTTTCGAGGTTCTTGAAAAATTAGTAGACGCTTGGTTAGTTTTCTGGTGACTATGATGAATAAGGCAAAGTTTCGTAGAGCACCTGGTTGAAGCTTTCCAGCGTTGGGTGTGGTAGATGTGGTCACGAGCTACTGTGAAGAGCGGATTGCCTTTTCCTACTGACCAATCGATGATACAAATGCTAGATATTTCAAGCTCGAAGGACCCGCATGGTGCAGTGGTGAACGCATTAGTCCCCGCAAAGGGTAATAGCACGTTCGTTCTCCATCGGAGACACCTACAGTCCGGAGTTTAGCAATTATCTCAACATCATCGTGGTCGTATTTCGCATAATACCCTGCCGTAAAAATTGCATCAAGCAGAAAATCAAAGCAGATATTCTGAAGTTTGTAATGTATTTTGGTGATTTGCTCGGCATAATTGGTCGGGGTAATCGTTCCAAACGCGTTTGAGAAGTTGAAGTGGATGAAGCCAGCAGCACACAACCGAGTGATCTGTATGACCATCTTTTGGTGCAACTTCGGAGTTAATAAGTGATACGAAGCTCGATTGTGGTCGAACCACTGAGCCGATCGTTCCTTTTGTCATGGAGGGTTAACTTCTTGTCGCACGTAACACTACGTGCAAGAAATGTGTCGTTCTCATTGCGCAAAAGAAGCGCTTATGATACTTTAACACAGCGATTCCTTCCATTTTCATTCAATTTACAGCACAGCTTACATTTGTCGTATTTTCGGGACTTTCCAGTTTTCATCAAATGTCCCGATAAAGTCGGTTTCACGCAATGAGTTTTTCCGTAAGTCCTCATGTAGTCTTCCGCATATTTTTTCCTAGAAAAGCCTTTAATTCGTAATCATCAATCGAAGAAAAACGTTGTTGTGCTCATTAAAACTTTCTTATGTCCAATCTTAGTTAATGGTTCTGGTCGTTTGTTCTACATAAGATCCGACCTTGATTTCGTTAAAGTACAATTGTCGAAGGCACTATTGCCACACCTGAAATTCCTACCTCTAAAACTTTTCAAGAGTACAATTAATGCTGTAGTTAGGGCGTTTGCTTTCATGTCTTCTTATTGGACAAAAAAGCAGAAGGGACACAACGAAGGTAACTAGCGGGATGGTTAGACGTGCTGTGAAATACACACGTCGTGATTGGATCGATCCTATGCCCTAGTTTCCACAAGTTTTCCATCCGTTGGGGCCTGCGAATTGGTTCCAGACCCGTCTGCGAGAAGAGGAGGTAGCACTGACTTAATGAATTGGTTGCAAGTCACTGTAAAGGCCAGATATGAATTCATTAATCTCTAGCGATGCTTCTAAAGTCAAATACATGGCACATCCTTCAGAGATTGATCAACACCGAGAGCTTTATTTTCTGTACATGTGGATTGTGTATTCCTTGAGAATGGTTTTGTAAATAAATAAGCACAGCTGAAAGTGAAAGAAACTGGAAGTGAAAATGAATGGCATATGGCAGAAGTGAGCACCATTGGTCTCAAGAAGATAACGTTCAATTAAACGACCCAGAACCATGACCTCACTTTTATGACTCAGTGGTCACCTAAGCGCTCTACTGTCCAATTCATACATGCATAATTAAATATACATATGTAAATACAAACATATGCAGGTAAGGATAAGATTTCGACACCTGA